CGATGGACTTTGATGATGAATACTCCTCACAAGTGGGATGCGATGCTCGGTTGAGCTTAGTGAGTTTCTGAAGTGAGGATTAGTAGCAGCAAGGCAAGGTCACAAGCGAGCTACTACGGTCATTTCACATAACTTGTTAGCCCTAATTTCACTACACACAGGAGCAGCAGCATCATGAAAATGGTATGGCCTGTTTTAGTGCGGTTAGGAGGGATGGAGGAGAAGGTAAGCGGTTTTGAGACGGGTGCTAAGGGAAAACCGAAGGTTGGGGAGGGGGATCCTGGGTATGGCGGAAGGAAAGGGGGGATTGGGGGAGAACCACTCCTTGGGGTTATCCGTTGGTTGGGTCGCCTATCATACGCTTTGTTGCACCTTCCTTGCCTCTCCCCCAAATGTGGTTGGTCGAGATGAGAGTGGTGTGTGACTGTACTGAAAATGGTTCGAGGCTGTAATTAGCTTCGGACCAAAGCAGTTTTGCAAGCCGAGAGCAAGCTGGAAATGTAACTTCAAATAAATGCATCACTACAACATCTGTGAAAGGATTTACTAAAAGACATCCTAAGCCATAGGGGCGGGCCCTTACAAAAAAATCATAAAGCTTCTAACATCTGGGGCATTATGTGGGAAATACCCTCCTGATTTTCCAATACAGCGCTTCAACTTCCTCTAATTTCTGGACCCTGCTCTATGAACATCCTGCTAATAGTTTTATCGGGTAATTGAATTCGGACAATCAGAAGAATTCTATTACCGTATAATGTCGAGTGCGAATCAAGCTATAGGATGTTTCATCCCCCTCATTATTAATTTATATGTCTAAACGGTACCATTGGATAATGAAGTTGCATGAGGAGTATTTTATAGGAAGTTAAGAAATAAACATACATCTCATGTAAATAGACATAAGGTCGTCTTGTCTCCTTTATGAGCCGAGTCAAGCTCCTCGAATAAGAACCACACGCGCATATAGCGGATATTCCAAAAACACCCAATTCAGTCACATGTCGACAAACCCTAGGTCAGGCAATCCCGAAAACCATTCACCTTGAAGTCCCAAGATACGTGTATGTGAAGCCTTGCTCGGCATTTCCTAGCCTCAAGTCTCGAGAGCTGTAGCACACACTTGTCAGTCGTCTGTTGTTTAGGATCTAAATGCTCTCGTTGTTCTTAGATGATGGAGCAGTCGATGTTAGTCAAGGTAGTACGAAATCGACGGTTTAATTTATTTTCGGGTTGTCTGGTTCAGTGACTGGAACGGATAGAGCCTCCCTTCGACGACCGTCCAGGTTGCTGCTGCACAATCCCAAGTTTGTAACCGTTTATCCACCCATGTTCTAGAAACTCTTCCCAATTCCTACCTTAACGTCAGTGCGCTCGCCTGGCAAGCCAGCCGACACCGTCCTGGTCACATTTCCGTTATGCCAATTTCTTTTGATTTGCTTCGATAACTCACTCAACAGCTGTCCTGATTGCATCTCTGCTTTTGCAGAATGTCATCATGTCACCAATGCTCTTCCCCATCAAGATTGGCCTGACAGATTTACGATACTGCCGACTCACCATGATTTAATCACATCCTCGCTCGAAGCTGACAGCAACCAGGATCATCGCCAACAGTGCTGGTCGGTTCGACGAGTTAGCGGTGCCGGTCGGTACCACGGCGGTGCTGGTCGGTACCACGGCGGTGCTGGTCGGTACCACCGCGGTGCTGGTCGGTACCACGGGTTAGCAGTGCCGGGGTTGCATCCCTACCGCCATGGATGCCAAGCCTGTGCTGACAAAATGCGCGGGGAAGCGGTGGGAAAGCATCGGTTCCGCATCAACAACGCCTCAACCGCAGGCGACCACCTCTCACCCACAACCAACCACCTCGCTCCCACACCTATCCGATTCAGTCAATTCCGACTCTGAAAGCAGCAAACCCAGCCGATCTCTCCTGTCCATTTTCCAGCGGGCTAAAGTTGGCGGCGGTAGCACCAGCACCGGTGGGGGTAGTCCTGCTCGCGGGACTGCTGGGTCTTCGGGAGGAGCAGGCGCAGGCAAGAAGAAGGAAAGCAGATCGCCGGAGAGCAGCAGCAGTCGTATCCCCGTTATAAGCTCTGCTCATTCCCGGTATACAGACGGAACAAGTGAGGATGCGTCGCCGCAAGCTGCTAGGCTGAGAGGAGCAGGCACTGCGTCAGAACCGGTTGACGACTATGCTGTTCCAGTCGGTAGCTCGCGTCCTTCCAGCGGTAGCAGCGGCAGCAACAGCAACAACACCAGCAACAGCACCAGAAACAGCATCAGCGACAGCACCTGGAACAGCACCAGCGATAACAGCAACAACCCCTCCGTCTCCGGCAGTAGCGGTGCCTCCGCGCGGCTCTCTCTCTCCCCGCCTCGAGATCCGTACGGGGACGCGCGGAAGATCAGCAACCGCTACTGCCTATGGGACGACCGGCACAAGGTCTGGTACCGCTTCGAGGGCCCTAGCAGAGTCTACTGGAAAGTCGCGGCCGGCAAATCAGCCCACGAGGGCGAATGGGTCGCATTGCCTTATGAGGACGAACGGCCGAGGATGGACCCGTCCCGTAGACCGGGTTTTGACGCTCCTGTACGAAGCTCCATGCGTAGCATCAGTCGGACAGCAAGCGGAGACGTCGGCGCGGGGAAGAGCAGCGCGGGTGCGGAGGACGGGGAGAGGCGGAGGCGACCGGATTCTACGTCGGGCAGGGGTCGCGGGGGGAGTGACTCCTCCAACCCGTGGGTTTTCGCGGATGATCTTAAGACCGACACGGAGCAGGAGCTGAAGGCGTTGCATGCAGGCCCGGACCCCAGCCTCGCGTCGCTGCAGGCGTCCAAGTCCTTCCCGCCGGAGGTGGGCAAAGCAGCAGCAGCGAGCGCGGCAGGTGCGGTGGGGAGGTCAAACCTGGGGAACCTGCAGCCGCTGCCAGTCGCGCCCCCTACCGTGCCATCTGGTGCATCTTCCCCGCGTAGCGGCCCCTCCACGCCGCCTGAACCATCGTCCATGGGAGCTGCAGGGAGAGGAGGATCTGGAGGATTAGGAGGAGCAGGGCTGTATGGTTCTTCACCTGCGAAACAGCCGTTGGAGCACAGGTCTCCCCATCCGCACACCATGTCGCCAGACAGACGGCTTCAAGCCTCCAACCCCCTTCCCCTCCCTCCCGCCAGACAAGTAGGCGCGCTGGGCTCAGGGCCAATGGCCGGGAGAATGGAAGCGCCGGCGCCAGGCGTAGGCCCAGGTGTTGGTTCAGGTGTAGGGTCAGGTGTAGCAGCAGCACCAGGGCCTGTCCGCGCGCTCTTCCCTGTGCATTCCTCCCCTTCTCGGGACCTCGAAGCAGTTTCCGTGAACCATCCGCCGTCTCATGAGGCTCCTCCGTCAATTCTCGTAGGTCGAGGAGTAGGGGGCGTGGACGGTGCTGCTGCTGCTGGTGGTGGCACCGGTGGTGCAGGCGGGTTCGGTCGTGCTGATGGTGGGTTTGGTGGTGGTGACGGTGGGTTGGGCGGTCCAGGAAGTGGGGGTGTTAGTCCTCTTGCGCGTGGGAGGTCCGTGTCTACGTCTGGAGCGCCCATTGCTGTATTCGGCGGCGGGTCCCAGGGACACAGCCCGCGGACTCCCGCGCCCTCTCCCATGGAAGGAGCCGTAGCAGCTGTAGCACCTGTAGCGGCCGCGTCAGCAGGCACTTCGCCGTCTGGCCGCCACAGAATGTTCCCGCCAGCAGGGGTGCCCTTTGCTGCTCCGCCTGTTGCCGGGAGCACTGCTGCTTTGAATCGTCAAGGGAGTGGAGGGGTGGGCGGGGGATTCGGAGGAGGGATGGGAGGAGCTGTGGGAGCAGGGATGGGCGGGAGTATGGGCGGAGGAATGGGAGGAAGCATGGGCGGAGGAATGGGGAGCAACATGAGCGGAGGAGGAGGAGGAATAGGCGGAGAATTCGGGGGAGGAATGGGCGGAGGAATGGGCGGGGGAATGGGCGGAGGAATGGGCGGGGGAATGGGCGGAGGAATGGGCGGAGGAATGGGAGGAGGAATGGGAGGAGGAATGGGAGGAGGAATGGGCGGAGGAATGGGAGGAGGATTGGGAGGAGGAATGGGCGGAGGAATGGGAGGAGGGTCGGGAGGAGGAATGGGAGTAGGAATGGGAGGAGGAATGGGAGGAGGAATGGGGGGAATGGCGCCAGGACTAGGAGGAACGGCGCCACCAGCGGGCATGATGACGCCACCGGGGGGCATGATGACGCCACCAGGAGGAGGTATGGCAACGCCACCCGCTAGCAGCTCCAAGCTCTCTACTCGATCCGCGTCTCCCTTGCGGATCAAACCTGGCGTGCCCAAGCTCGAGCCCCTACCAATCTCCACCACCAAATCCCCCGTTGCCTCCCCTAGAGCCGTCACAGACAGGCCGCCGCTGCCTTTTGAACCTTCTCAGAACTCTCAGAATCCGATGTTTCCCAAGTCGGCAAGCCAAACGTCTACTCCTGGCCAGGTGTCGAGGGTCGGCTCGATGAATGATGGGCACGGGAGGGATGTTGTTGGGCTGCCCGGAGGAGCAGGGTTCGGGCAGAATTTCGGGCAGCAACAGTCAGGGCAGCAAACAGGTCAGCCGTTTGGGCAGCAGCCAGGACAGCAATCAGGACAGCAGTTAGGGCAGCCGTTAGGGCAGCAGGTGCAGCAGCAGCTGGGGAGAGAAGGCATGCTTCCCTGGCAGCAATTTCCCAAATCATCCAGTCAAAATTCAAACCCCGACTCCTCCCAACCGTGGCACCAGCAGCAGCTGCAGCATCAGCAGTACCAGCAACAGCAGCCGCAGCAGCAATACCAGCCACAGCAACAGCAGCAGCAGCAACAGTTGCATCCGCCGCCGTTCCCCCGAACCTCAAGCCAAACCTCTTCCCACTACCCAACCTCCCCTGGCCAGGCATCCACCTCTGGGAACCTCTCCAGGGGAGGTTCCACTAACGAGGGCTCCATGCTCGTGCCTCCAGGAGGCTCTCCTATAGTCACAGCAGCAGGCTCAGGATCAGAAGCTGCTGGGCATGAGGAGGGGGACTCGTGGGTGCCGCAGAGAGGAAGGTGGAAGAAGGGCAGCAGGATTGGGTCGGGAGGATTTGGGTCCGTGTACAAAGGAAGCGACATGTAAGTGGTTCCAGGCAGCTCTGATGCTGGTGCAATTCCTCTGTTCCTGTTTCAATTCCTCTGTTCCTGGTTCAATTCCTCTGTTCCTATGGTTCTTGGCGTTCTCCGGAAGTCCAGTCCGGTCAAGTCAATTCAACTGTTCCACAATTGCTTATCTTCCATTTTTCTCCTGCGGGCATTTACAGAATGCCTCCTTTCCATATTTTCTTTTCTCATTCAGGCATTCAGGAAAAAGTTAACGTTGGCCACCCCTCCCTCACTCACATCTTACATGCCACGTGGTTGTCTGTCTCCCTGATCGCACACAAACATGCTTCTCCCCCCTCTTATCACACATGCAGAGATACATCACGTGTGTTTGCTGTCAAGGAGGTCAATATCTCGGACCATAGCTCTATCTCTCAGCTCGTGCAGGTGCGTGCATTTTGGGCAACGTGTGCATGTGTGTGAGAGGGGGGTTGGGTGTGAATGTGGTTGGGTGGGTGGGTGTGGATGCATGCATGTGTGTTCGAACATGTGTAAATATGTGTATGGCCCCTGAGCACGCTTGCTCAACCAAAAACCTCTGCGCCTTCCATTGCCTCATCGGTTTTTTATGTTCTCTCTCTCCCCAATCCCCCACCCTCCCTTCCCCACTCCCACCCTACCCGCTTTCACCTGCAACCCCCGTCTTTCTTCTCCTTCCATCCCCCCTACGCTACCCACAATTCTCACTCTCATACGCACAAGTACATGCACAACGCTCATACACCTCGACGCACACAGTCACTCGCAACGCACATGCTGCATCATATGCACCCCCATGCACACATGCTGCATTCTCACTCAATGAAATTTCCAACCCCTGTTCCCGCATCCTCCTCCCGTCCCTTTATCCTCCACGATCGCAGGAGATCGACACGCTGAAGAAGATGCGTCACAAGCGCATCGTCCGATATCTCGGCTCGGAAACTGTGAGTTCTGTCTGGTCAGCTTAACTGTTTCCAGTCTCTAAATACTCACAAGCAGAGTGTTCCCTTTTCCTCTTACATGATGACACGCATTCAAATGTCCATCTCGCCTTTAAGCTCCCCCCGTCCCCCCTCCTCCCTCCCCACCTCCTCCCTCCCCACAGTACGGCAGTGCGTGTACCTGCTCCTCGAGTAAATGAACACATCTCACCTTTTCCCACTCCCTTGCTCTGTCTCCTCTCCTCTCCCCTCTTCTGTCCCCACCAGGACGACAAGTGCATGTATCTCGTTCTTGAGTACATGGACACATCGCTCTCCAAATACCTGGAGGACTTCGGCCCCTTGGAGGAGCACCGTTTGACATCCTTGTGCCTCTCCCCGCCTTCCTTCTCCTTCCCTCCCTTCTCCCCCACAGGACGACAAGTGCATGTATCTCTTTCTGGAGTACATGGACACATCGCTCTCCAAATACCTGGAGGACTTTGGCCCCTTGGAGGAGCATCAGATCGCCAAGTACACTCGCCAGCTACTCGAGGGGTTGGCGTACCTGCATGACAACAATATTGTGCACCGGTGGGTGGGTGGGTGGGTGGGTGGGTGGGTGGGTGGGTGGGTGGGTGGGTGGGTGGGTGGGTGGGTGGGTGGGTGGGTGGGTGGGTGGGTGGGTGGGCTATTTGCTGACATGAATGCTGGAGGGGCTGGTTTACCTGCATGACCAACAACATCGTGCACCGGTGGGTGGGAGGGTGGGTGGGTCGACAGGTTGGTGAGTGCTTGGGTTAAAACGAGAACATTATGCTGAACGTTCAGTGAGCCGGTCACTGATTTTTCTTCCATATTATGTCTTGATTCCCTCCAACTGTCAGAGACGTGAAGGGGAAGAACATTCTGCTGGATACCAAGGGAAACGCCAAGCTCGCTGACTTTGGTGTAGCGAAATACGTAAGTCAACTCTGAATGTCCTCTATTTCCTTCCCTTCCCAACGCTCCCCTCCCTAACCACACCCCCAACAACCCCCCGCTCCCCCCCTCCCTCCGCACCCCCTCCCCACCTTTCTCCCCCACCTGTATCGCTTTTTTGTTCCTTTTTTCTCGCTCATCCACACATTCCTTTTTGTTTTTCTTCCTTTATCGTCAAATCACCCTCATCACATGTCACACATCCTGCATCCCACATCCCCCATCCCTCATCTCACATTGCCCACATTCCACATCCCACATCTCGCATGTCCCATGCGTCCGACATCCCACATCCCACATCACACATATCATCCCACATCACACACATCATCCGCATCACCCACATCACACACATCATCCGCATCACCCACATCATCCACGTCATCCACATCACCCACCCACATCATCCACGTGGCACATGGTGGCCAGGTGGAGACGCCAGCAGACATGTCAGGCATGCGCGGCACTGTGTGGTGGATGGCGCCTGAGGTGAGTTGCGAGGGGCCCCCTGGGAGAGGCACAGGGTGATTGGGGTCCCAGGTCCCGCATGGCACATGGGCAGGTGGAGACGCCAGCAGACATGTCAGGCATGCGCGGCACTGTGTGGTGGATGGCGCCTGAGGTGAGTTGCGAGGGGCCCCCTGGGAGAGGCACAGGGTGATTGGGGTCCCAGGTCCCGCATGGCACATGGGCAGGTGGAGATGCCAGCAGACATGTCAGGCATGCGCGGCACTGTGTGGTGGATGGCGCCTGAGGTGAGTTGCGAGGGGCCCCCTGGGAGAGGCACAGGGTGATTGGGGTCCCAGGTCCCGCATGGCACATGGGCAGGTGGAGACGCCAGCAGACATGTCAGGCATGCGCGGCACTGTGTGGTGGATGGCGCCTGAGGTGAGTTGCGAGGGCCCCCCTGGGAGAGGCACAGGGTGATTGGGGTCCCAGGTCCCGCATGGCACATGGGCAGGTGGAGACGCCAGCAGACATGTCAGGCATGCGCGGCACTGTGTGGTGGATGGCGCCTGAGGTGAGCCTCTACCCCCCTCCTCCCCATCCCGCCTTGTTGGGCCATGAGGTGACTATGGCATTCAGAAATTCCTGCTCGAGGTGATTCTAGGGTGCTCCAGATGGAAATTCCTGCTTGAGGTGATTCTAGGGTTCTCCAGATGGAAATTCCTGCTTCGTCTATTGGAATCCTGGCTACCCGCTTCACCGCCGTGCTTCCCCCTCCCTCAGGTGATCAACCAGCGGCCGGAGGGGTACAACTGGCCGGTGGACATCTGGAGTTTGGGCTGCACTGTCATCGAGATGGCCTTGCTGGTCGTGGACAACCGTTTAAACCCTTCCCCCCCCTTGCAGGTGATCAACCAGCGGCCGGAGGGGTACAACTGGCCGGTGGACATCTGGAGTTTGGGCTGCACCGTCATCGAGATGGCCATGCGGGTTGTCGATAAGCGTCTGCGCATTCCCTGGCTTGACGTCGAGGGCAAGCCGCCCTGGGGGGCGTCTCCTACTGACGGGGTAAGCTGACGTGATGGGGGGGTTAAGGTTCTGAGTCGACTCTCAAGAGGCACCTTGTTGACGCTTTCCATATACAAGCGTCTGCGCATTCCCTGGCTTGACGTCGAGGGCAAGCCGCCCTGGGGGGCGTCGCCCACTGATGGGGTGAGTTTGTTTCTGGGTCTATGTAAAGAGTCACCTTCGTAAGCCGGGTGCAGCCATTTTTCCTGTCGTTCTGGATATAGGCGGTCGCGTCGTCTTGGTACAACAAGCTTTGAGGCGCCTCAAAATGCTATCCTGCTTATAGCTGCGTAACAAGCCCCTCGACCCCCCTTCCTTCCCCTTCCTCTGTGCTCCCGTCCTCCCCGCGCTTCTCATGCCTCTCTCTCCTCCTCGTCCTCCCTCTCCCCTTTCCTCTCCGTCGTCCCTCACTCACCCTCCACCCTCCTTCTCTCGGCCAGTCAACCCCTCCTGCCTCCGCCCCCTTCTCCCCTATGCTCCCTTCCTCCCCTCTCGTCCCTCCCTCGCTTTTCATGCCTCCCTCCTCTCTCTCACTCCCTCTCCCCCTCCTCCCCCTCACCCCTTCCTCCCTCTCCCCCTCCCCCACCCTCACCCCTTCCTCCCTCTCCTCCCCCCCCTTCAGATGGCGGTTATCCTGCGTATAGGCAGCACAACAACCCCCCCGCCTATCCCCAGCCACCTCTCAGACTGTGCCAAGGGCTTCCTCCACCACTGCCTCTCAGTCAACCCCTCCTGCCTTTTCTCCCCATCCCCCTTCCACCTCCCCCAGATGGCAGCTATTCTGAGAATAGGCGGCACCCAAACACCCCCGCCCATCCCCAGCCATCTCTCGGACTGCACCAAGGGCTTCCTCCACCACTGCCTCTCAGTCAACCCCTCCTGCCTTTTCTCCCCATCCCCCTTCCACCTCCCCCAGATGGCAGCTATTCTGAGAATAGGCGGCACCCAAACACCCCCGCCCATCCCCAGCCATCTCTCGGACTGCGCCAAGGGCTTCCTCCACCACTGCCTCGCTGTCAACCCCTCCTGCCTTTTCTCCCCATCCCCCTTCCACCTACCCCAGATGGCAGCTATTCTGATAATAGGCGGCACCCAAACACCCCCGCCCATCCCCAGCCATCTCTCGGACTGCGCCAAGGGCTTCCTCCACCACTGCCTCTCAGTCAACCCCTCCTGCCTTTTCTCCCCATCCCCCTTCCACCTCCCCCAGATGGCAGCTATTCTGAGAATAGGCGGCACCCAAACACCCCCGCCCATCCCCAGCCATCTCTCGGACTGCGCCAAGGGCTTCCTCCACCACTGCCTCTCAGTCAACCCCTCCTGCCTTTTCTCCCCATCCCCCTTCCACCTCCCCCAGATGGCAGCTATTCTGAGAATAGGCGGCACCCAAACACCCCCGCCCATCCCCAGCCATCTCTCGGACTGCGCCAAGGGCTTCCTCCACCACTGCCTCTCAGTCAACCCCCCCTGCCTTATCCCCCTTCCACCTCCCCCAGATGGCAGCTATTCTGAGAATAGGCGGCACCCAAACACCCCCGCCCATCCCCAGCCATCTCTCGGACTGCGCCAAGGGCTTCCTCCACCACTGCCTCTCAGTCAACCCCTCCTGCCTTTTCTCCCCATCCCCCTTCCACCTCCCCCAGATGGCAGCTATTCTGAGAATAGGCGGCACCCAAACACCCCCGCCCATCCCAGCCATCTCTCGGACTGCGCCAAGGACTTCCTCCACCACTGCCTCTCAGTCAACCCCTCCTGCCTTTTCTCCCCATCCCCCTTCCACCTCCCCCAGATGGCAGCTATTCTGAGAATAGGCGGCACCCAAACACCCCCGCCCATCCCCAGCCATCTCTCGGACTGCGCCAAGGGCTTCCTCCACCACTGCCTCACTGTCAACCCCTCCTGCCTTTTCTCCCCATCCCCCTTCCACCTACCCCAGATGGCAGCTATTCTGATAATAGGCGGCACCCAAACACCCCCGCCCATCCCCAGCCATCTCTCGGACTGCGCCAAGGGCTTCCTCCACCACTGCCTCTCAGTCAACCCCTCCTGCCTTTTCTCCCCATCCCCCTTCCACCTCCCCCAGATGGCAGCTATTCTGAGAATAGGCGGCACCCAAACACCCCCGCCCATCCCCAGCCATCTCTCGGACTGCGCCAAGGGCTTCCTCCACCACTGCCTCTCAGTCAACCCCTCCTGCCTTTTCTCCCCATCCCCCTTCCACCTCCCCCAGATGGCAGCTATTCTGAGAATAGGCGGCACCCAAACACCCCCGCCCATCCCCAGCCATCTCTCGGACTGCGCCAAGGGCTTCCTCCACCACTGCCTCTCAGTCAACCCCCCCTGCCTTATCCCCCTTCCACCTCCCCCAGATGGCAGCTATTCTGAGAATAGGCGGCACCCAAACACCCCCGCCCATCCCCAGCCATCTCTCGGACTGCGCCAAGGGCTTCCTCCACCACTGCCTCTCAGTCAACCCCTCCTGCCTTTTCTCCCCATCCCCCTTCCACCTCCCCCAGATGGCAGCTATTCTGAGAATAGGCGGCACCCAAACACCCCCGCCCATCCCAGCCATCTCTCGGACTGCGCCAAGGACTTCCTCCACCACTGCCTCTCAGTCAACCCCTCCTGCCTTTTCTCCCCATCCCCCTTCCACCTCCCCCAGATGGCAGCTATTCTGAGAATAGGCGGCACCCAAACACCCCCGCCCATCCCCAGCCACCTCTCGGACTGCGCCAAGGGCTTCCTCCACCACTGCCTCTCAGTCAACCCCTCCTGCCTTTTCTCCCCATCCCCCTTCCATCTCCCCCAGATGGCAGCTATTCTGAGAATAGGCGGTACCCAAACACCCCCGCCCATCCCCAGCCATCTCTCGGACTGCGCCAAGGACTTTCTCCGCCACTGCCTCGCTGTCAACCCCTCCCACCGCCTGCGAGCGCACAAGCTCATGCAGCATGTGTTCATCGCAGGGCCAGTGCCCGTGGGGATGGGGTTGAGCGGTGGAGGCATGAGCAGTGGAGGCATGAGTAGTGGAGGCATGAGTTCGGGTCATTTGGACGCTCCTCGCTCCCCCAGGTACGCCCATGCCCATCCCATGCACCATGCACCTCCCTCGCACTTCTCGCAAGCGCACAAGCTCATGCACCATGGGCTCGTCGCAGGGCCAGCACCTTCGAATCCCATGCCCATAGGGGTGGGGATGAGTGGTGGGGGGATGAGCCATGGGGACATGAGTTCGGGTCATATGGGCGCTCCTCTGTAACCCAGGTAAGTCCATGCACCCCCATCCCTCCTTCCCACCAGGTAAGCCCATGCACCCGTCCTTGCTGCTTCTCCTGCTGCCACTTTATTGATCATGTCTGCTCTGCTTTCCTCCCTCCTGCCCCGCTTCTCATCCCATCCCCTCACCCTCCCTTTTGCGCTCAACCCTTTTTTCTCCCAGGTCTGGGGCCTCCCAGCCCTCCTATCCATCCCCGTGGGAGCAACCCTCGTACCATCAACAGCAGCAACAGCAACAGCAACAGCATCAGCAGCAGTATCAGCAGCAGCAACAGCATCAACAACAGCAGCAGCAAGAGCCGCAACAACACCCCAGTTATCATCAGCAGCAGAACCTGTCTTGGCGTGATTCCGGTCCGGTTCCATCTGGTCCCCCATCCTCCATGCCTCCTCCCTCAGGTCCGGCATTGTCCGGACCTGGCATGTACTCCGGCCCTCCTGCCGGACCTGGCAGGCACGGATGGAGAGACGACATGGCTGCGCGGGATAATAATGCAGGCTCTCCTTACTTTCCAGGCTCGGCAGCAGGCTTGGCGGCCAATGGGGGTGGCAGGATGAGTCCACAGCATATGTACGCAAGGGGGGAAAACAGCAGTGGGTATGGGCTAGCAGGAAGAGGAGGAGGGGGGGGAGGGGAAGGAGTGATACCACCTGCTAGAACCCGCAGCAGCCCCACCGTTGACCTCAGAGAGATGGCAGATCATGCACAAGCTTATCTTCCTGGTAATGATGCTGGTAGTGGGGCTTTTGCTGGTGCTGGTGCTGGTAGAAACGGACCAGAGCCTTTGTTTGGTGGCAGTGGCAGTGGCGGCGGTGGCAGGGGTGACCCAGAGCCTCTCTTTGGTGGCAGTGGCAGCGGTGGCGGCGGTGGTGGTAGGGGTGACCCAGAGCCCTTGTTTGGTGCCAGTGGCAGTGGCGGCGGCGGCAGCGGCGGTGGTAGAAGGGATCCAGAGCCTTTGTTTCCATCAGGGCCTGCAGCCTCTGCTGTTGGTGGTGCTGGTGGTGGCAGTGTGGGTGGTATGGCTGGTAATGGTGGCCCAGAGCCGTTGTTCCAAAGCTCTGGTGGTGGTTCGGGCCCCGAGCCTCTCTTCTCCGCCAGCAGCACTGCAGCTTCCAGTGCTAGTGGTAGAAGCCACTCAGGCTCGGGCCCCGAGCCTCTTTTCCCGAGCCAGGACAACCGAACCTCACCTCCTCCTCATCACCAGTACCACCAGCAGCAGCAGATGCCTCTTGATGGCACACGCAGTCCCAATTCTAATGAGCTACAACACGTGGGGAACACAGGCAGCAGCAGCAATAACAGTATCAATTACCCTGCCAAATCCCCGCCTAGGAGCAAGCCTAAATCCCTCTCTGGCCCTCTCACGCCTCCCCGTCGCCGCCCGGGCAGAGAGTCAGGACGGACATACAGCCATGGAATGCCGGCCCTTCCGGACCAAGGGGCTTACATGGAGGAGAGTGAAGGAGTGGGGGATCGGCCGTACAGCGGCGGTGGGAGATCGTTGGGGGGGGAGCAAGATGGGTATTCATCTTATGACCGGGAGAGAGAACGAGAGAGGGAGCAGGAGAGGGGGCGAGAGAGGGAGCGAGAGAGGGAGCGAGAGCGGGAGTGGGAGAGGGAGAGGGAGAGGGAGAGGGAGAGGGAGAGGGAGAGGGAGAGGGAGAGGGAGAGGGAAGGGGGGTATAGCCATAGGCAGTTGTCGCCCGGACCAGATTCCGGTGCATATGCTCCGTCTGGTTCTCTTCCCTATCACCACCAGAACCCTCAGCAGCAACAGCAGCAACAGCAGCTGCAGCAGCTGCAGCAGCAGTATGGTGGGTTGGAACAACGACAGCCTGTACAGGATCAGCCTATATCGAGACGGTCTCCTGAGCCATCCTCCCCTCGATCACCCTCAAGCTACGGGCGTGCAAAGCCTTTGTTCCAAGATGGTGGCATGGGTGGGGGTGGGGTTGGCAGTGGCAGTGGCGGCAGCAGCAGTAGCGGTGGTGGGTTTGGTGCCACTGCTGGTGGTGGTGGTGCTGGTGGGGTGGGGGTTGGGGGTGGAGGAATGTATGGGGGCTCACATGGCTTTTCGCCTCCTCCTCCTCAGGTGGTCGCAAGGGGGAGTAGTGCAGATGGGTATGGCAGCGGTGGAGATGGGTACGGCAGTGGTGGGGATGGGTACGGTGGCGGTGGCGATCGGTATGGTGGTGGAGGGCCAGTGGGGCATTGGAATCAGAGGTAAGTGGGGGGGGGGGTGTCTATTTGTGCCTTCTCTCTTGTTTGCTTTTGTCTCCTTTCTGTCTTTTCTTGATTTCTAACGTCTTCTTTCTGTCTCCTCTTGTTTCCCAATACATCATTCTCCTCATCCCTCCTCGCTTCTCCACCTCCCTTCCCTTCCCCACCCACCCATCGCCCTGAGCAGGGACGTCTCACCACACCGAGCCTCCTCCCTCTCCATCCCCCCTCACGACCGTCCCCACAACTTCCCCCTGCAAGGCCCCCACACGGCCCCCCTGCACCAGTCACCCGGCCAGTACCCCTACTCTTCCCAGCAAAACGCCTACCACCACCTTCAACCGCAGCAGAACCCCTCTTACCCCCAGCGGCCTTACGACCACTACCCCCCACCGCCGCCTAACCAGTACTCGCAGCAGATGTGGCAGGGTGGGGGAGGGGGGGGAGGGGGAGCAGGGGGAGGAGGGGGGCGGATGGGGGGTGGGTGGGAACAGGGGGCAGAGGGTATGGGCGGGTATGGGTCTTCACCTCAAGTTTCTGGCGGTGGTGGTGGTGGTGGTTATCCTGGTGGTATGCGTGGGGACATGAGAGGAGGCATGGGCCCAGGCATGGTAGCAGGTTCGGGATCAGGTATGGGTCCAGGTTCGGGGCCAGGTTCGGGGCCAGGTTCGGGAGTTTGTATGGGTTCCGGACCAGGCCCAGGTCTGGGTCCTCAGGGTTTCAATGGTGGCGGTGGTGGTGGTGGTGGCGGGAATGGCACTGGTGGTGGATATGGTGGTGATTATATGGGGCAGCCTGTAGGGCTGGGGGGAATTGGAAGAACTCTCTCTACAGGGGAGTGGGAGCAGCGGCAGCATTCAAATCAGTACATGAACCAAAGCTACAATAATGCGCCGATATCTAGTAGTTACAATGTGGGGGGAGGAGCTGGGGGAAGGTATAATAACGGTCCAGGTTCAATGTATGGAGGCGGAGGGCGTGGGGGTTCCCCGGTTCCCCCTCAGCAGTACATGCAGCAGTCGCACTGGCAACAGCCTGGGCATGAGCAATTGCGTGGGTCGGGAGGAAGTGGTAACGTTGGCAACAGTGGCAACATTGGCAACAGTGGGGATTTAGGCGGGACGGGATCTGCATGGCAGCAGTACCAGGCCAGGAGGGCATCGCATGGTATGCACCAGCAGCAGCAGTGAATTGCTGTAGTATTTATTTCCATCCGTATCTGTGTCATGTAGATGTCATGGAGCTCTTCTTCAATTGTAGGGTGCAGTTTCTATTTGTGGTTTGGTGTTTATTATATCAAATGCTTCGCTTGTTCGTCGCTCCAGCTTTCCGCGACTGCCCTGCACCGTGCGACATTCTCTAGGCCCTCAGAAGCAGAGAATCTAGCTGAGCTGCAAACCCGTTGCGAAACGGGTGTCGCACAGGTTCAATTCTGCTCAATACCGCATACAGCTCCTTCATCGCTCTTATTAACCACTCTTGAACGCGAAGCACCTAATTGGTAGGCATTGAGACGAACTTCGGCAACATAAAATCCAAGCACACTGCTTTTTCTCTTGGAGGCCACTCATGTTGCGTTGCGAGTTCTTGATTTTGGAAAACGCTGGGGAGCTTTGTCAACTCTCTTACGCCACATTGCTGCATTGTGCGTGCCTCCCCTCTGGACCACGAATTCGCGTGAGAGATTACTTACATCTTGGATTTCTCCTCCGCTTGCGAATCCGCGGTTGCGAATCCGCGGTTGCGAATCCGCGTGCAAGATATGGCGGGAATCCGAGCCGCCTTCCTCCCGCTGCTGCTTCTCGCCAGCCTTACCGCGTGCGCGGGATTCTCCGCCAGGCCGTTCTTCCCCGGCGTCCTTCGCCTGCCGTCGGCTGACGTGACAGAGACTCTGCAACCGCAGCAGCAGCAACAGCAAGACACCGTCGCGGAAAATGACGGCCTGGGAAATAGCGTCAAAATTGAAAGTAGCAGCAGCAGTAGAAGTGGCAGCGGCAGGATTGGACTGAGAGGAAGCGGCTCTTTTCCCGCGAGAGACGTGATTAATGCTCCGCAGAGGCAGGAGCCGCAGCTGCCGAAGACGAAGGAGAAGAGGCTGAAGCTGAAACAGCCACCCCCGTGTACGCAGGATTTTTCCGAATTAACAGCCTTCGCCCTATAGGGCGCTGCAGTGCGAGAAGTCCCGCGTCTTTCTTTCTTCCCCGTATCTGTTTCCGCAACGTGACGCCCTGCGTCTTTTATTTTTGTTTGGTTCATCCTGTTGAGTGTGCTTACAGCGCAGGGAGTGGCGTACCGTGCAGTGCCGGATCCGGACCTTGCAAGCCCCCCGTTTGAGTCACCCTATACTGCTCCTGACATTCCCTTGGATTACCACCAGCAGAACGGCACTAACTTCCCCGAGCAGGTCAGTCAGCCTGCTCTCTGCATGTTACTAGAACTCCCGATTGAATCACACTGTAGACTCCCTTGGATCTAGCGAAGAGCTCCTGACATTCCCTTGGATTACCACCAGCAGAACAGCACCAACTTCCCCGAGCAGGTCAGTCAGCCTACTCTCTGCATGCTGCTCGCACTTCCGTTCGAATCACACAGGGATCCTGGGAGTCGTTCCTGACATTCCTTTGGGCTGCGTCGGTGCCACCTGCAGGAGGGCTTTAACCTAACTACCACGAGCATGTCAGTCTGCATGCTACTATTAGCACTCCCGCTTGAGTTACACAGATGCTGAGGACGGTCTCAGAAATTCCCCGGCATGAGAAACAAGATGCTCTCTTTCTTTCTTTCTTTCTTTCTTTCTTTCTTTCTTTCTTTCTTTCTTTCTTTCTTTCTTTCTTTCTTTCTTTCTTTCCTTCTTTCCTTCTTTCCTCACTACGTACCCACCTCCTTCTAGGTGCTTCTCGCTCCTGCGTCACCTGACGGTCTCTTCATGTTTGTGCGGTTTGTCATCCCCAACATCATGCCGTTAAGTGCATGCGAGTAGAGGCACAAGCGTCCGTGCTTATGCTCCCATTCTCCCCTTCCCCCCACCCCACCGCAGGTGCTTCTCGCCCCAGCTTCTCCTGATGGTCTCTTCATGTTTGTGCGGTTTGTCATCCCCAACATCATGCCGTTAAGTGCATGCGAGTAGAGGCACAAGCGTCCGTGCTTATGCTCCCATTCTCCCCTTCCCCCCACCCCACCGCAGGTGCTTCTCGCCCCAGCTTCTCCTGATGGTCTCTTCATGTTTGTGCGGTTTGTCATCCCCAACATCATGCCGTTAAGTGCATGCGAGAAGAGGCACAAGCTGCCAATTGACCTGCTCACGGAACTGGGGGAAGAGGCTAGTGCGTGGAAAGCAGGTGTGGAGGAGAAAGAGGGTGACAATAACGAGGAGGACGAGGACGAGGAAGAGGAGAGGAAGGTGGGGGAGGAGGGGTTGATGGAAGGCGGGATGGGGGACAAAAAATGCAGAAGCAAGCGTTCTGTGCTCTATGGCATTGATCCCAACGCCCTCAACCAATCGGCAAGGTGGGGCAACTTTCACGTGCACGCAGACAGTACACTTCCGTTACGCCTTTGAAGAGGGCAGGGCACAGACGGAGCATACGTGTCTGGGGATACCTTCTTCTTCATCCCCATCGGCCCACTCCTCCCCTCCATCCTCCCCTTTTAAATTTTATCATTTTCCCATTTGCTTTGCTGCTACCAGAGGTCGTTCCTTCCGCTATGCCTTTGCTGTCAGGAGTAAACAGGTGGGCTGCGGAGGTCTTATGCCTTTGCTGAGGGCACAGATGGAGCACACACGTGTCGGGTGTATAAATTGAATTTTTGAGACGTCTCAAAAATTCACTTTATACAGACGGAGCACACGTGTCGGCAGATACCTTCTTCATCCCCATCGACCCACTTGCTTTCTTCCTTCCCTGTTTCCTCCCCCTCCCCCTCCCATTCCTCCCCCTGCTGCAACCAGTGGTCGTTCCTTCCGCTACGCATTCGCCGAGGGCACAGATGGTGCATACGTGTCTGGGGATATCTTCTTCATCCCCATCAGCCCTCTCCTCCCCTCCATCCTCCCCTATTGTTTTCTTTCCATTTCCCATTTGCTGCAATCAGTGGTCGTTCCTTCCGCTATGCCTTTGCCGAGGGTACAGATGGTGCATACGTGTCTGGGGATACCTTCTTCATCCCCATCGGCCCGCTCCTCCCTTCCACGCGCTACTTCTACCGAGTCGAAGGCTCTCCCATCACACACTCCTTTGTGTCACTCCCTGCCCCCGGCTCTGCTTCCGCCTACCCATTCAAAGTCGCACTCGTCGGTGAGTCTGTTTATCGCCTTGGGGTATGTGGCCTCCACCCACCCTCTCATAGTCCTCCCTTCCACGCGCTACTTCTACCGAGTCGAAGGCTCGCCCATCACACACTCCTTCGTGTCACTCCCTGCCCCCGGCTCTGCTTCCGCCTACCCATTCAAAGTCGCACTCGTCGGTGAGTTTTTTTCGTAATCTGAGGGCTCTTTTGCGCCCTCGTGTTGACTGATTCAACCAGTCGGCCCGCCCCAGCCCTTCGCTTGTGGGTGAGTCTATTTCTTTTCCTATGTAACAAGTCCTTTTTGTGCCTTGCACCTGCTTTTGAGAATTCTCAAAATGCACCTGCAGCACCTAACTGCCTCCAACCACTCCCACCCACCGCGCTGTTATCAATTATAGTCTTCCCCACCACCATCCACTCCTTCACCTCGTTCTCTGGCCCCCATCCGGGCAATGTGGGGCAGGCTTTCAACAGCAGCACCGCATTTGACCATGTCAAACCCCACAGCCGCAACCTGCTGCTGTTCGCGGGGGACCTGAGTGCTTTCCCTCCGCCCTCTCTCCCGCAATCCGCCCTCTCTCCCGCAATCCGCCCTCTCTCCCGCAATCCGCCCTCTCTCCCGCAATCCGCCCCTCTCCCGCAATCCGCCCTCTCTCCCGCAATCCGCCCTCTCTCCCGCAATCCGCCCTCTCTCCCGCAATCCGCCCTCTCTCCCGCAATCCGCCCTCTCTCCCGCAATCCGCCCTCTCTCCCGCAATCCGCCCTCTCTCCCGCAATCCGCCCTCTCTCCCGCAATCCGCCCTCTCTCCCGCAATCCGCCCTCTCTCCCGCAATCCGCCCTCTCTCCCGCAATCCGCCCTCTCTCCCGCAATCCGCCCTCTCTCCCGCAATCCGCCCTCTCTCCCGCAATCCGCCCTCTCTCCCGCAATCCGCCCTCTCTCCCGCAATCCGCCCTCTCTCCCGCAATCCGCCCTCTCTCCCGCAATCCGCCCTCTCTCCCGCAATCCGCCCTCTCTCCCGCAATCCGCCCTCTCTCCCGCAATCCGCCCTCTCTCCCGCTCCGTTGTCATCCCCCCATGTTTCCCTCCTTCCAGGCGACGTGGGACAGACGCTCAACAGCAGCACCACATTTGACAACGTCAAAGCCGGCAGCCCCAGCCTGGTGCTGTTCGCGGGGGACCTGAGCTACGCTGATAAATATGGCCCACCGCACTGCACCCCACTGGACTCCTCTCAATCCCTCCCCGCGGTTGATTCTCCCGAGGCTCGTGGAGGGAGCGAGGGCAAGATGGAGGGCGAGGGGAAGAGCAAGATGTGTGGGCTGGGCGGAGTGCGGTGGGACTCCTACAGCCGCTTATCCGAGAAGGTCTTTGCTCATATCGTGAGTATCGGTGGGCCTCTCTTATCCTACGAAGCAACCGTTCCTTTTGAAAATTCTCAAGCGCGATTCCTTCTGAGAATTCTAAAGAAAATCGGTGGGCCTCTTATCCTACAACAAGGCAACCCTTCCCCACTGTGAAGCTCATATCGTAAGTTCTTCTGCGAGCACTTCTGAGGCGCCTCATAAGCTCTTCTGCGGGCACGAGCTTTGGTGTATCTTGTGCCTTTTTTTTGCAGGAATTTTCAGCAATGTTTCTTTGAAGAAAAGGATCTCGCTGTTGTCCTCGCCTGCTGCTGTCACGTGTAGCTTATGCTTAAAAAGGTAATAATAATAATAATAATAATAATAATAATAATAATAATAATAATAATAATAATAATAATAATAATAATAACAATAACAATAACAATAACAATAATAATAATAATAATAATAATAATAATAATAATAATAACAATAATAACAATAATAATAATAATAATAATAATAATAATAATAATAATAATAATAATAATAATAATAATAATAATAATAATAATAATAATAATAATAATAATAATAGTAATAATAATAATAATAGTAATAATAAATTATTAGGGGAAAAAAAAAAAAAACGTGTCTCGTCTGTACCTTCTCTCCTCGTCGCCTCCACACAGCCTGTGGCTCATGTGCCAGGGAACCATGAGATCGAGCTCGTGCCGAGGTGGGGCGAATTGATATCATCCCTCTTGCCTTGATTGTTCATACTTTCATTCCCCTTGTCGTCTCTACCCACCCACCCATCCACCCACCCATCCACACAGCCTGTGGCTCACGTGCCAGGGAACCATGAGATCGAGCTCGTGCCGAGGTGGGGCGAATTGCGCCCGTTCAAGGTGTACTCTGCGCGGATCCCCCCTCTGCTGCACCACCACCACCCGCTGCTCGCGAGCCTGCTGTCTAAGGTGAGGGGTGTTGGCTTTCGCAAGGCTGCAGGTGAGCCTGCTGGCCAAGGTGAGGATTGTGAGGTGCTTCTGACACTGTTGCTCACGTGCCAGGGAACCATGAGATCGAGCTCGTGCCGAGGTGGGGCGAATTGCGCCCGTTCAAGGTGTACTCTGCGTGCATCCCCCCTCTGCTGCACCACCACCACCCGCTGCTCGCGAGCCTGCTGGCCAAGGTGAGGGCGATGATGGGGTGCTTCTGAGGCGTTATTGCAACAGGTACAGTTCGTTCCGTTCAAGGTGTACTCTGCGCGGATCCCCCCTCTGCTGCACCACCACCACCCACTCCTGGCGAGCCTGCTGGCGAAGGTGAGGGCGATGGGGTGTTTCTGAGGCGTTATTGCAACAGGTACAGTACGTTCCGTTCATGGTGTATTTTGCGCGGCGGATCCCCCCTCTGCTGCGCCACCACCACCCACTCCTGACGAGCCTGCTGGCCAAGGTGAGGGCGATGGGGTGTTTCTGAGGCGTTATTGCAACAGGTACAGTACGTTCCGTTCATGGTGTATTTTGCGCGGCGGATCCCCCCTCTGCTGCGCCACCACCACCCACTCCTGACGAGCCTGCTGGCCAAGGTGAGGGCGATGGGGTGCTTCTGAGGCGTTATTGCAACAGGTACAGTTCGTTCCATTCAAGGCGTATTTTGCACGGATCCCCCCCCTGCTGCACTGCACCGCCACCACCCACTCCTGGCGAGCCTGCTGGCAAAGATAACCATGAACTGGCTTTTCAGCGAAGTGAGTGCGTGAGGGTGGAGTAGGTTGTCTTTCTTTTGAGAATTCTCAAAAGTAAAATGCACAACAAAATAGCAGCAGCAGCAGCACCACCACCACCACCACCACCACCACCACCACCACCACCACCACCACCACCGTGCATAACCGTCTCAGACACCTCTCTGCCACTGTTCGTTATGTGTCCCTCTCTCCGTTGTCCTCTCTTGATCAGGCGGGAATCACTCCCAACCACCACCACCACCATCACCATCACCATCACCACCATCACCACCACCACCACCACCACCACCACCACCACCACCACCACCACCACCACCACCACCACCACCACCACCACCACCACCACCACCGTGCATAACCGTCTCAGACACCTCTCTGCCACTGTTCGTTATGTGTCCCTCTCTCTGTCGTCCTCTCTTGATCAGGCGGGAATCACTCCCAACCACCACCACCACCATCACCATCACCACCACCACCACCACCACCACCACCACCACCACCACCACCACCACCACCACCACCACCACCACCACCACCACCACCACCACCACCACCACCACCACCACCACCACCACCACGCGTACCCATCCAAAGCACCGCTCTTCTATTCCCTTGATATCGGCCCCGTGCATGTGATCGCCATCAGCCACCTTTAACTTCCCCTCACCCAATCAATCCTTGCTTCATCCCCTTTTCGTATCAGGCTGGAGTCTCTCCCAACCACCACCATCACCAACACCACCACCACCACCACCACCACCATCACCACCACCACGCCTACCCATCCAAAGCACCGCTCTTCTACTCCCTTGACATCGGCCCCGTGCATGTGATCGCCATCAATTCCTACTCGCCTTTTGTTATCTACACGCACCAGGTAGGGTGGGGTGCGGTATGATGAGGTGTGGTGTGGCGTGGTATGGAGTGGTGTGGTTCAGTGTGGTGCGGTGCGGTCTGGTGTGGTTACAGGCCGCTCTTCTACTTCCTTGACATCGGCCCTGTGGATGTGATCGCCATCAACTCCTACTCGCCCTTTGTTATCTACACGCACCAGGTAGCACAGTTAGATGCAAGGCCACTGTGGGTTGGTGTGGTGAAGTGTGGTGAAGTGTGGTGTGGTGGTTCCTCTCTTCTATTCCCTTGACATCAGCCTCGTGCATGTAATCTCCATCAACTCCTGCTCGCGTTTTGTTATCTACACGCACCAGGTACTGTGAATGGACAGGAAGGAGGCATGCGGTGAGGTGCAGTGCGGCGCGGTGTGGTGTGGTGTGGTGTGGTGGGGTGGGGTGGGGTGGGGTGGGGTGGGGTGGGGTGGGGTGGGGTGGGGTGTGGTGGGCTGGGGTGAAGGTGTACCCTCACTAGGTCTGGAGTGTTTTTATTCTTTTCGTACTAATTTTCTTCTTGTGCATCTTGTTTCCCCCATGCCACGTGGCACAGTGGTACTGGTTGCGGGACGACCTGTGCCGCATCGACCGCGAGAAAACCCCGTGGGTTGTGGCGTTCATGCACGTGCCTCTGTACAACAGCAACGACGGGCACTACCTGGAGGTATGCCCTATCCTGGTGCATGTGATAGTTGATGGACTGAATAGCCGGTAAATTGTGACTCTTGCAAGCGCGTGGGTCGTGGCGTTCATGCACGTGCCTCTGTACAACAGCAACAACGGGCACTACTTGGACGTATGCCTATAGCTGCTGCATGTGCTTGGAACAGCTGGATAGATTGGCTACCTAACCTGTACCCTGTGGCACTACAAGTGGGCGTGGCGTTCATGCACGTGCCTCTGTTCAACAGCAACGGCGGGCACTACTTGGAGGTATGTGGTAGCTGCTGCATGTGCTTGGAACAGCTGGATAGATTGGCTACCTAACCTGTACCCTGTGGCACTACAAGTGGGCGTGGCGTTCATGCACGTGCCTCTGTTCAACAGCAACGGCGGGCACTACTTGGAGGTATGTGGTTGCTGCTGCGTGTACTTGTGTACGTGGATGGATCGGCTACCTAACACGTTCATGCATGTGCCTCCAGTACCTGTGACACCGTGAAGTGGGTCGTATCGTAGCATTCATGCATGTGCCTCCAGTACCTGTGACACCGTGAAGTGGGTCGTATCGTAGCGTTCATGCATGTGCCTCCAGTACCTGTGACACCGTGAAGTGGGTCGCATCGTAGCGTTCATGCATGTGCCTCCAGTACCTGTGACACCGTGAAGTGGGTCGTATCGTAGCGTTCATGCATGTGCCTCCAGTACCTGTGACACCGTGAAGTGGGTCGTATCGTAGCGTTCATGCATGTGCCTCCAGTACCTGTGACACCGTGAAGTGGGTCGTATCGTAGTGTTCATGCATGTGCCTCCAGTACCTGTGACACCGTGAAGTGGGTCGTATCGTAGCGTTCATGCATGTGCCTCCAGTACCTGTGACACTGTGAAGTGGGTCGTATCGTAGCGTTCATGCATGTGCCTCCAGTACCTGTGACACCGTGAAGTGGGTCGTATCGTAGTGTTCATGCATGTGCCTCCAGTACCTGTGACACCGTGAAGTGGGTCGTATCGTTGCGTTCATGCATGTGCCTCCAGTACCTGTGACACCGTGAAGTGGGTCGTATCGTAGCGTTCATGCATGTGCCTCCAGTACCTGTGACACCGTGAAGTGGGTCGTATTGTAGCGTTCATGCATGTGCCTCCAGTACCTGTGAAACCGTGAAGTGGGTCGTATCGTAGTGTTCATGCATGTGCCTCCAGTACCTGTGACACCGTGAAGTGGGTCGTATCGTAGCGTTCATGCATGTGCCTCCAGTACCTGTGACACTGTGAAGTGGGTCGTATCGTAGCGTTCATGCATGTGCCTCCAGTGCCTGTGACACCGTGAAGTGGGTCGTATCGTAGTGTTCATGCATGTGCCTCCAGTACCTGTGACACCGTGAAGTGGGTCGTATCGTAGCGTTCATGCATGTGCCTCCAGTACCTGTGACACCGTGAAGTGGGTCGTATCGTAGTGTTCATGCATGTGCCTCCAGTACCTGTGACACCGTGAAGTGGGTCGTATCGTAGCGTTCATGCATGTGCCTCCAGTACCTGTGACACCGTGAAGTGGGTCGTATCGTAGCGTTCATGCATGTGCCTCCAGTACCTGCGACACCGTGAAGTGGGTCGTATCGTAGTGTTCATGCATGTGCCTCCAGTACCTGTGACACCGTGAAGTGGGTCGTATCGTAGCGTTCATGCATGTGCCTCCAGTACCTGTGACACCGTGAAGTGGGTCGTATCGTAGCGTTCATGCATGTGCCTCCAGTACCTGTGACACCGTGAAGTGGGTCGTATCGTAGCGTTCATGCATGTGCCTCCAGTACCTGTGACACCGTGAAGTGGGTCGTATCGTAGCGTTCATGCATGTGCCTCCAGTTCCTGTGACACCGTGAAGTGGGTCGTATCGTAGCATTCATGCATGTGCCTCCAGTACCTGTGACACCGTGAAGTGGGTCGTATCGTAGCGTTCATGCATGTGCCTCCAGTACCTGTGACACCGTGAAGTGGGTCGTATCGTAGCGTTCATGCATGTGCCTCCAGTACCTGTGACACCGTGAAGTGGGTCGTATCGTAGCGTTCATGCATGTACCTCGCTACCACGTTCAGTCTCCGTTTCCCCTTTCCCACCCTCACTCTCATTCTCTTCCCAGGGCGAGCCGATGCGGTACGAGATAGAGGACTGGTTGCACGAGGCAGGGGTGGATCTGGTGGCGAGTGGCCACGTGCATGCGTATGAACGCAGCTACCCTGTTTACGGCATGAAGAGGATGGAGACTGGGTGTGCCGCCGTGCATGTGACGGTGGGGGATGGCGGCAACATCGAGGAGATTGCTGGCCCGTGAGTGCGCTTCTTCATTAGGCCAAGTTGAGTATTTTTTAGAATTCTCAAAAATACTCTTCTTCATTAGGCTAAGTTCACGTGCACGTGCATCAGCCACCCCGTGTATGGGATGAAGAGGATGGGGACTGGGTGTGCTGCCGTGCGTGTCACCGTGGGGGATGGCAGCAACATAGAGGAGATCGCTGGCCCATGAGTGCCCAATTTCTTCTTCTTTTTCTTTTTTATTATTTCTCCTCTTCGGGGTGTTTTTTCCTTCAACTGGTAAGTCCTCGTGTCCATCCAGCTGCAATGTCAACTTTTGCGGCGCCACAGAAACCAATCATACACTGGTGATTGACCAGCCTACTGGGTCGACTCAAAAATAGACTCATCACACGCGGATTGGGTTCCTCCAGCTGCGATGTCTACCTCTAATCACACACTGGTGATTGACCAGCCTCAGACAGTTTTTCCCTGGTATTCATCCCAGCATCCAATGTCAACCATATAATCTCACACCTCTGACACCTCTGACTTGGTGTTTCAACAGCACACTCTTCAAAGGGCCAGGGCATTTTCGTTCTCTTTCCCTGTTCTTCCAATGCAGGTTCCTCGAGCCACAGCCGTCGTACAGCGCGTATCGAGAGGAGTCGTTTGGCCATGCTGAGCTCGTTTTTAACGACAATCGCACCGCCACTTACAGCTGGTGCGTTTGCTGCATTGTCCTTGTCAGTGCTGCTGTTAGAATCTGTCAGGTTTCTTCTTCTTTGAGGTTCCAGTGCTGCTGGTGACTGATTCTGTAACCGGTTCAACTACACAGGTACCGCAACCACCAGGGATCAGGCGTGCTCGCTGATTCCTTCACTCTTCTCAATCGTGCCAACAGCTGTGGTGGCCTTCGCCGCCCGTCCTTCTGCTCCTCCTAGACCGAGCTGGTATCTGAAACTTATGTGACGTCGAGATTTAAGTCAACTGCACTGAACCGTTTGGAGGGTACTGCTGTATTACTGTATAGAGAACTTTCACAAGGGCCGTTCTTTTGCCCTTCCCTCTCTCTCTAGCCTGGGAATAGAAAAAAGTCGGGATGCAAACAGTCCGGAGGGTGTTTTCGTCCGCCCTTGCTTTTGCTCAGCATGGGCGTTAATTTCATATGTTTTTTTTTTTTTTAGAGAGCACCTTTACATCTGAAGGTGCACGTAACATCTGAAGGTGCACAGAGAGCTGTTTTGTCAATTTCCATTGACATGCTATAGCCTGACAAGTGTTACATTCCGAACGTGAATGAGATGAGACCCGAGTACAGCCTTCCATTCGTACTACGCAATTCATCAATAAGCCTATTCCAATTCGATCCCAGGGAACCAATAAAATAGTCACATTCCGCAGTAATAAGCAAATTGGCGAAAATGTTCGCTATTGGTTGCTGGGCATGTTCCTGCTCGTCTTTCATTTGCTGCGCACTCTGCACTCTAGAGGCATTCGTGTAGAAAAAATTCCAGCTGGGATAATCGCTTGTCTCGTCGATTACAGACTGGGAGGTTTGGAAGGCGAAAAACGGGGAGGGGAGGAGCGGCGGGGGAAGAAGGATGTTGGCAGGGAACATATTTGTAGCAGGTTCACAAAGAGTGTCGTAATACGTAAATGAAGAAAGAAAAAAAGGATTGTGAGATGGATGGGCTGGCATAGGAGTTTTGAGACGTCTCAAAACTCGTAATACCCGTAAATGAAAGAAAGAAAAACAAAGAAATGGGAGATGATGGGCAGGTGGATGGTCATGAGTACGAGGATGCGGATTTGCTACATCTCAAAATAGACAAGGTGCAAATGGATGATGGCTTTTGCAGAGAAAGAGACATCAATGACAAAGAAATGGCCGGCAGCAGGTTGCATCTCCGATCCTTAGTCACTCAGGTTATTTTTGAGGCGCCTTAAAAATAACCTCATCTCCGATCCTCTGTCACTCAGCTGCACATGCTTTTGCATCCCTTGCTTCCATAACTTCTCCCCACTCCCTCTCTCTCCATCCCCTTACCTAAACTTCGGTGTATTTCCGCACTCTCTCCCCCCACCTCACCTGCACTTCTGTGCTCAGCCAAACGTGCTTCAGGTCTGGCTGGTGCGCTCTCAGCCAGGCAGCCACAAGCATGAACGCCGGTAGCGGGTGAAGCTCCATCTCAGACCCATAGTCGCTCAGCCGCACATGGATGCTCACCACCGGACTGGCCGCACTTTTGAGGCTCATAAAAAAGCATGTCCAACCCTTTGCCGCCCACCTGCACATGCATGCTCATCACTCGCTCCCACCACTTCCCCTCTCACCCCGCCCTCCCCTCACCGCGCCCTCCCCTCACCGCGCCCTCCCCTCACCGCGCCCTCCCCTCACCCCGCCCTCCCCTCACCCCGCCCTCCCCTCACCGCACCCTCCCCTCCCCTCCCCTCCACTCACCCCGCCCTCCCCTCACCCCGCCCTCCCCTCACCCCGCCCTCCCCTCCCCTCCCCTCCCCTCCTCTCACCCCGCCCTCCCCTCCCCTCCCCTCCTCTCACCTGCACTTCTGTGCTCAGCCAGACGTGCTTCAGGTCTGGCTGGTGCGCTCTCAGCCGGGCAGCCACAAGCATGAACGTCGGTAGCGGGTGAAGCTCCATCTCAGACACTTTATCGCTCAGCCGCACATGCATGCTCACCACCGGCCGCACCATCTGCACCTCCCCTCCCACGCCGGGGTCCCCATTCCCCGTGCCCTCACTGTCTCCCCCCACGTCGTTCCTCTCACTCCCCCCCGTATCCGTAGCGTTCCCGCTCGGGTGTTTGGAGTTAGAGTGGTTGAGTGCGGTGCCAGCGCTGCTAGGGTTGCTGATGGTGGTGGTGCTCCTCCCGAACTTGCCAGAGCAGCCTGAAACGCCCCTCATTGGCCAGATATGCGAATGCAACGACCGTAGACGTGTCGCGCTGCCATTGGCTGCGAGGATTTCCGTCTCGGTTGCCCTCGCCTTGGCAGCGATCAGCAGCAGCAGGTAATCCAGCGGATCGCCTCTTTCTGCTGCTGAGCTGGCAGTTGCCGTGTCTGTTGAGTTGGCCGCTGAGCTGGCAGCTGACGTGGCTGCTGAGCTGGCACCCGAGGTGGCGTTCAGCGATTCGATGATGCTCGCCTGCTGGGCAGCAACTGCTGTCACGCGATCGGCCATGAGGCGTCCATAGCTGACGTGGCGGACACGGTTGATGACGTGGCAGAGATGAGCGGACGGCCAGCGGAGCAAAAAACGGACGGCTTGAGCCCGCCACCACCGAGCCTGGTGTCGGGGGGAGAGAAGGTGAAGAAGGGGGAGGGGGGTGGGGAAAGAGAGATTGGGGGAAGAAATACAGGTTCCGGTGGCGGCTTGAGCCCACCACCACCGAGCCTGGCGGGTGGGAGGGGCGAGAGAGCGAAGAGCGGGTGACCGTACCATCACTGGGCGAGCGAACCAGGGGAGGCGGGCGAGGCGAGCCAAGGGCAAGGGAGGCGAGCCAAGGGCAAGCAGGCTTGCACAGTGGGCTCTGTGAGGGGCGGCGAGCAGGGATGGAGGTACCGGAAGGGGTAACGGGAGATTCATGTGAGAGAACGGGTGAAGGGATGGATGAGGGGAGACGTGAAAGGATGAGTGAGGGGAAGGGTGAAGGGATGGATGAGGGGAGACGTGAAAGGATGAGTGAGGGGAAGGGTGAAGGGATGGAGGAAGGTTTACATGCAGTGGTGCACGTACCATCATGCAGTGGTGCACGTACCATCATGCAGTGGTGCACGGACCATCATGCAGTGGTGCACGTACCATCATGCAGTGGTGCACGTACCATCATGCAGTGGTGCACGGACCATCATGCAGTGGTGCACGGACCATCATGCAGTGGTGCACGTACCATCATGCAGTGGTGCACGTACCATCATGCAGTCTCGGTTCAGGTTGGGAATGAAGCTTATATTTTGAGTCGACTCAAACATCAGTGATGTACATACATACCATCATGCACGCACATACCATCATGCACATACATACCATCATGCACGCACATACCATCATGCACATACATACCATCATGCACGCACATACCATCATGCACATACATACCATCATGCACGCACATTCCATCATGCACATACATACCATCATGCACGCACATGCCATCATGCACGCACATGCCATCATGCACGCACATGCCATCATGCACGCACATACCATCATGCAGTACATACATACCATCATCCAGTCTGGATACATGCTCGAGATGGAGTTTTGCTGTTGAATGGTGTAAGGCCGATCCAGCCATGGTTTGCCCCACCTCCTGCCAAGGGAGTACACATTTTTATCATCAATCACATCTGGGGACATTACATTCAACTGTACTATTTTTATTGAATTCTCGAAAAACATTATATTCAACTGTACAATAATTTTAGAATTCTCAAAGAGCAATATATTGAACAAAACTATTTTTTGAGAATTCTGAAAAAAAAAAACAGATCCAGAATACATTTTCATCTTCATCATCGCATCCGTTTTTGGAATTCTCAAAAGTGAATGACATCAGGTGACATTAAAATTTAACTGTACTATCTCTCTCACTAATCTCTCTTACTCACGATTTGGCAGCATCAACGTCCCCATAGAGGGATGAGAGTGCGAGGTACACCACCTGCATGGCATGGCATGGGCATGGAAAGGAAGGGCATGGCATGGCAAGACATGACAAGACATGGAAAGGCATGCATGGCATGGCATGGCATGGCATGGCACGAAATGAAATGGCATGGCACAGCACAGCATGGCATAGCCGATATCTGGTGCCTCCCTTCCCCTCGGTCATACATTGCCGAGACCTCGGTCATCCGTCGCATCCCCTCTCGTGTGATAAGACCCCCTATATGGCGACTCAAAAATCGACTTATTACCCGAGGTGACTTTTGAGTCAACTCAAAAGTGTGATCAGACCCCATTTATGTCGACTCAAAAATCGACTTATTAACCGAGGTGACTTTTGAGTCGACTCAAAAGTGTGATAAGACCCCATTTATGTCGACTCAATAATCGACTTATTACCCGAGGTGACTTTTGAGTCAACTCAAAAGTGTGATAAGACCCCGTTTATGTCGACTCAATAATCGACTCATTACGCGAGACCTCGGTCATCCGGCGCCTCCCCTCTCTCATACACTGCCATGGCCTCCCCTCTCTCATACACTGCCATGGCCTCCTTGTGAGATGAAACGATTTTCGAGTCGCCTAAAAAAATCTTCCCGTTGGTCATACATTGCCGAGACCTTGGTCATCCGGCGCCTCCCCTCTCTCATACACTGCCATGCCATGGCCCCGTGCCGTGCACACATGCAGGGGCGTCTGAGAATACTCAGCAACATCTCTCTCATCTCACCTGTGTGTCGCCAGCCAGCATGCTCTCTCTCACGTCGTTCCCGCGAATATCTGGTGCCTCCCCTTTCTCATGGGCTGCCATGGCCTCGAGCACACATGCAGGGGAGGAGATGGGGAAGAAGTAGCACTCCCACTGCTGCGCTTGGCGCAGATCTTGAGGGGAGGGGGAGGGATGGTGTGGGGAGGGGATGGGAAGGGGAGGGGGAAGGGATGGTAGGTATTCAAAGGGAGGAGATGGGGAAGAAATAGCCCTCCCACTGCTGCGCGTGGCGCAGGCCTTGGGGAGGGGAGGAAGCGGGGAATGGGAGGGGAGTGAGAGAGGGGGTGAAATGGGAGAGTAGGTGGTGATGAGATGGGAGGAGAGGAGACGGGAGGGGAGGAGACGGGAGGGGAGGAGACGGGAGGGGAGGAGACGGGAGGGGAGGAGACGGGAGGGGAGGAGACGGGAGGGGAGGAGACGGGAGGGGAGGAGACGGGAGGGGAGGAGACGGGAGGGGAGGAGACGGGAGGGGAGGAGACGGGAGGGAGGAGACGGGAGGAGAGGAGACGGGGGGGAGGAGACGGGACGGGAGGAGACGGGAGGGGAGGAGACGGGAGGGGAGGAGACGGGAGGGGAGGAGACGGGAGGGGAGGAGACGGGAGGGGAGGAGACGGGAGGGGAGGAGACGGGAGGGGAGGAGACGGGAGGGGAGGAGACGGGAGGGGAGGAGACGGGAGGGGAGGAGACGGGAGGGGAGGAGACGGGAGGGGAGGAGACGGGAGGGGAGGAGACGGGAGGGGAGGAGACGGGAGGGGAGGAGACGGGAGGGGAGGAGACGGGAGGGGAGGAGACGGGAGGGGAGGAGACGGGAGGGGAGGAGACGGGAGGGGAGGAGACGGGAGGGGAGGAGACGGGAGGGGAGGAGACGGGAGGGGAGGAGACGGGAGGGGAGGAGACGGGAATAGGTGGAAGGGGAGGTGAAGGGAGGTGATGGGGAGGTGATGGGGAGGTGATGGGGAGGTGATGGGGAGGTGATGGGGAGGTGATGGGGAGGTGATGGGGAGGTGATGGGGAGGTGATGGGGAGGTGATGGGGAGGTGATGGGGAGGTGATGGGGAGGTGATGGGGAGGTGATGGGGAGGTGATGGGGAGGTGATGGGGAGGTGATGGGGAGGTGATGGGGAGGTGATGGGGAGGTGATGGGGAGGTGATGGGGAGGTGATGGGGAGGTGATGGGGAAGTGATGGGGAAGTGATGGGGAGGTGATGGGGAGGTGATGGGGAGGTGATGGGGAGGAAGTAGCACTCCCACTGCTGCGCGCTCGAAGGTCCATGGAATGCACACAAGAGGTGTGGTGTGGTGTGGTGTGGTGTGGTATGGTGTGAAGGGGCGACAGTTGCATTCTGCTACCCACCTTCACACTCGCGCCCAGCGCGTTCAAAGGTCCCGGGCATGAGCACGAGAGTGCGGTTACTCCGCATGGCAATGCTGAGATACGCCCCCACCACATGCACCATGCTGCCCATGCCATGATGCATGCTACCCGTCCCACCTACCTCCCGTTCTCATACCCACCTTCACACTCGCGCCCGGCTCGCTCAAAAGTCCCTGGCATGAGCACGACGGTCCGATTACTCCGCATGGCAATGCTCAGATACGCCCCCACCACAAGCACCATGCTGCCCATGCCATGCCATGGTGCAGGCAGCATCTTCCCACCTACCTCCCATTCCCTCCCCCTACCCACACCTCTCCATTCACCTTCACATTCGCGCCCGGCTCGTTCAAAAGTGCCGGGAATTAACACGAGGGTGCGGTTGCTGCGCATGGCAATGCTGAGATACGCCCCCACCACATGCACCATGCTGCCCATGCCATGGTGCAGCCCCGGCCAGCGCGACAGCATCAGCCGCCGCCCGGTACAGCTGGCGGGGAACTGGTGCCGCCACATGTCGCGCTGCACGCCACGTGTCATCGCGAGATTGGCCGCGTCGGAGCCCCTTATCTGGATGAGGAGGGAGGGATGAGGCAAGAGGAAAGGGGAGGGGGAGGGGGAGGGGGAGGGGGGAGGGAAGGGACTGGTGAGGCACCTTAAGAGGGGACAAGAATCCAAAAAAGGGTTCTGATATGCAAAAAGAGGACAAGAAAAACAAGCCATGAATGACCATACATGTATGATGCACCCATCCACCCATACATGCACCATACATGCATGATGTACCCATCCACCCATACATGCACCATACATGCATGATGCACCCATCCACCCATACATGCACCTTTCTCCCACCCACTCACCCATGGTGGCTGAGGGCCGCACTTGCAGCACCCCCTCCCATCATCCCCGCTTCCCCCGCTTTCCCCACTCTCGCCCTTGTCCCCCTCCCCCGCATCCCCGTCACTGCCTCCGCAGCACTCCCCAGACTCCGCGCGCGCCCATGCGGGGAGGCTTCCGCCCTCCCCCCGCTCTTCCGCCGCCTGGCGCGCAGCGGTGCGCACGGAGCAGTCTTCGAGGTGGGAAGGAGGGGGAACGTTGGGGGGAAGGACGAGCGGCGCAGGGGGGAGGAGGGTGGAGGCATTATCGAGGCCGTACGCTTGTGACCATGCCTGGTGGTGATTATAACAGAAGGGAAGGAGAAGGCGCGAAAGAAGAATCGGTAAGTAGTCAATTGCAACCGACAGGAGAAGTTTAGGAGGGGAAATATTCGTCAAAATGCGATGTCAGTCGCCGCTTACGCTGAGTGAAATATAGAATTGATTGTTGACACGTATACCGAGCCCCACTCACGTCGAATAGCGCCTGGGCTCTGGCTTCGTGATCCTGACTGGCGAGCGGGTTACTCGCTTCGGCGACGCCCGCGAAGTGCGCTAGCGGTAGCAGCACCAGCCACATAAGCCAAGCCATCGCGGTTGGTTTGGAGGACACGCGAATGTGAAGGTTTGGAATAACTAAAATTGTAAAACCTTGTCATTGCTTTAACTCAACAGTTCCTTTTCAGCATATTTACAAAGTGCGAACCATCTAGCAACTTGTAGCGAATATACCAGTTGAGAAGCAATTTGCGAGTGAGCTTGTCACACTTCGATATGTTTGACCTAGAGTGCCATTCCGTGCGATGCAGTCAGTTTCAATTCGACTCGGACTGTTTCGTCGGACTTCACGGTTGGGTGGGGTTTCAGGGTCGTGCGACAAGACGAGCCCAAACGATTGCAAAACCGCTCTGCACCACAGAATCATATCCTTCGTTGGTTGCTTGCTTTGCTGTAAATTGTCCACGTCAAATTGTCGTTGTCTCAGCATTGCCGTGGCGATGGTCCCGCCTTCCTCACAGTCTTCGTTTCAGCATTGTGCATTAATTTCGTTTACAGTACACTTACAAAAGCTCTTTTTCTTGTACAGTCTGCACCGTCCGTTCCTGAGGTCCAACAAATCCTAGCCGTAGAATAAATGTGCTGCATTACTGTACCATACAGTACTGTACATCCTGCTGTGTTCCTTCCATGAGGATCTAGAACTCGTGGGTTCGCTGCTGCAGCAACCGGTAGGTTCACGCGTCCTCAAATCTATCATCCAGCTCTTCTCAGTGGAGATTGTGTGGTCCTCAGATGCCCACAGCTGGCATGCTATGTCGCTAGTGCTGGTTACCGCATCGCGATAGTCGCACAAATCCCATCCCATCACGTGCGGTACGCTGGAACAATGATCAGTTTACAGCACAGCAGCGAACCAACGCCACGGTCAAATCTAGGGTTTCCTTTTCAACACCTAGCTTTTGTCTCTGCATGCCTTTCTTGCCAAGAGGCATTCCTTCCAGCTTCAAGGAAAAATGACACCTGGAGCTCGCTTATGGAATTGTGTATCCATCATCAAAGCACCTACCTAAACGTGCGGTCAGCCTATCTCGATGACGTTTTCCTTATCTCAAGCTTGGCTTACCGAAATCCGTACCGAAGTTGTTGGCCTAGAAGGCTGTTTCGTTTCAGCGAAAGCTCAGTATACCTTTTTGAGCTTCCAAACTTCGTGTTGTTGAGTGGACTGAAAACAGGTGAAGGATGCAACTTCTTTCATATCATTGGGCTTCCTCGGACCCTCGTATATGTGTCTATCTCGCTCGTGCGTTCGCCGATCCGGACCCTCCATCCATTGCCTGGGCGTTCAACTTAACTAGCTAATTAATATTCGTGTCTATGTAGTTTTGGGTTGAACGTTTGCTCTTACAAGGTTTTTTTTTTTTTTTTTTCCTTTCATTCATTGAACTTCTATTAGTCCTCTCAGCAATGGAGGTCACCAGCAAAGCCGCGCGGGAAGGATCCCGCGCGGGCGGGGGAGGCGAGGCCTCCAGTCGGCGCACCGGGGTGAACGAGAGGGCCGCGGATCAATGAGCGGAACAAAGCGGGAGCGCGGCGGGGGCGCATGGGGAGCGGAGAGCAGTGGTCCCGGCGGGCGCAGCGGAGCCGGCGGAGCGGGCGGAGCCGGGGGGAGTTCCGCAGGGGCGGGCGGGGAGAAGAAGGTGAAAGTGATGCAGCGCGGGCACGGCATTGCGCACCTGGAAAAGCTCCGTCTGCAGGAATTGCGCAACGCGGAACTAGAGCGGTGGCAGCAGCAGCAGCAGCAGCAACAACAGCAGCAGCAGCAACAGCAGCAGT